AAGTAGTAGTAGGGAGTGACTCTGGAGTCAGACAGACTTGAATTTTAATTTTGGCTCCATCACTTGCTAATAATTTTATGAATCATTTAGAACAGTTTACTTGCCCCATCTTTAAAATGGGACAATAGTGCCTATTGGTGGGATTGTTGTGCATTTCCCTTCCTCTATCCTTTCCATGCTTTCCCTCCTAGCCCCTCCCAGCATTGTCTCCTACCTGGATTGCTGGAATGGTCTCCTTGTCTCCAGATGCTCTCCTGTCAACTCCTTCTCTGCTTGAAAGCTTCCGGGATCTTTATAAAACATGATGCCATGTTTATGGTACTTCTTTCAAATTAACTGTCCAAGCCAGAAGCCTGGATATCATCCCACTTTTGTGTCTTTCACACCCCATTTCTGTTCAATTGCCAAATCCCACTGGTTATGCCTGCTTGTTCTCTCTCACTTCCATCCAACATCTCAAGGCTTAGCTCATATGTCCCAGCTTCATGACATCCTCCCCAGGCTCAGCAGTTGTCATTAATTGTTTTCTTTTCTTGGTTACCCTAACATTTTGCTTATTCATCTGTTTATCAATTATTTCACTCAGGTGATTGTCACCTCCCCCACTATCATTTAATGTCTTTGAGGGCAAAGTTCAGGTTTTATTCATCTTCATACCTCCCATAGAACCTAATTGGTTCCAGACAGATCAGAGGCACTCAGTAACTATAGCAGAATAAAAGAAAGAATGAATGAAATCTCAAATCCAAAATTCTGTCCTGACCTCATCCTGATAACTGAATCCTAATTATAGATTTATCTTCTCAAAGCCTCAACCTCTCTGAGACATTCCACAGCTGACTTCCTGCATGGCTTTCTTTACCTGCAGAAATTAAGCTCCTACTCAGCATGAAAGGCAGCATGGTATGGCAGAATGCTTGAGACTTGGAGTCAGAGGTCCTGGATGAACTTCAAGGCCCCAGTTTCCATGCAGAGACGGCGGAGACAGATTTACTTAATCCTCCAATACATTCCTGAAGGCTAAATTCTTTTTCAGAGCCTAAGGCAATCAGATCATTTTTTTCTATAACAATTATAACAACAACTGCTGCTGGAGTGGTTATAACTACTACTTCTGCTGTTGCTATTGCTACTACTACAAATATTGCTGCTGTTATCGCTGCTATTACTGCTATGCTGCTACTATTACTGTCCTAATCTACCTCTTCTATTATTCCCATTACTACTACACTATTGCTGCTGCTGCTACTGCTTCTACTACTAGTAGTGATGCTATTGCTGGCACTGCTAATCTAATGCTACTACCCCTGCTGCTACCACTACTATTGTGGCCATTGCTGCTACTACTGCTGCTGCTGCTAATTTCCATTTCCTCCTCCTCCTCCTCCTCCCCCTCCTCCTGCTCCTCCTCCTCCTCCTCCTCCTCCTCCTGCAGCCGCTGACACTATCACTGCTGCTCTGCCCTGAGTGCCTACTTGGCTCTAGGCCCTGCACTGATTGCTTTGTCTTTCTGGATCTCATGCAATCCTCACAACAACCCTATGAAGTAGGCATTAGTCTCCTCATTTCCCTGATAAAGACACAGAAGCTTAGGGAGACTAAGAAATCTGCCCAAAATGCACAGCTTGTCATAAGTGGAGGAGGCTAGGAGTCATCAGACTCTAATGCTTGTGTTCTTTTAGTTTTTTCCTCCACCTTTTTGTGTATAGTCCTAAGACTGACAGTACAATCAATATTTAATGCTGGTTATGAAAAGCCTTCACCTCAGGGAGCTCACTGGTTTATGCTTGTTCCTGTGCATGACCTCATTTTACCGGATTCCCCTGAGCCTTGCTTTAGGCAGCCTCCTTTGCAGCTGGCTGTCCCCGCACGTCCTCCATGCCTGAGTCTCTTCCTTTGAAACAACTGCTGTGAAGTGATTGTCTTAAAGGCAGGGTTGGTACCACCCTCAGAATTGTAACAACAAGAGAGATGCTTTGCCAGGATATTAGGATGGAGTAGTGCAAAGGACACCCAACTCCTTCTATTAAGCCACCTCTCCCATACTCCTGCATTACAAAGAGGACGCTGTGTCACCAGCTAGAAGGAGTTTTCCCAGTAAATATCCCAAAGTCTTCCTTTTCCTCTAACCCACACCACATTCTGTCCTCAACCCCCAGAAATCAAATTGTCAAGTCAGATGGATTTAAAGATGTAGCCATTAGGAAACCGGGTTCCGCTCCCAACTCTGACACTGCCTGGCTGTATTAGACATTGAGTAAGTAAGTCTCTCGTCTTGGATGGAGTTACCCCAGAGCTTCCGCTGGTTTCAGTTTCTTACTCTTTGATATGGGGACATAATCCTCAACCGACATACTTCTCAACCAAAAATTAAAAAAGAGAATTGTGAGGATCAACTGAGAAGATGAATGGGAAATTACAGTATTTTGAAGAACATTTTCCAATATTTTCTTACTTTCTTCTGAGGCCTCATAAAGGTCCCTACATCATCTATGCTTTTAAACTGAAGTGTCTCGTCACTAATTTATTCAACACAAATTATTAAGCACTGTGTTTGCTAGGCAACTCCCCATTCCTCTCTGCTGCCCTGATTTTTACCTGTTCTTCAAGACCCCTCCCTTCAGGAAGTCTTTCCTGGTGCACCAGCCCTGAGCTTCTAGGGAACCGCTGTCTAAACATTTTCATTTGACACTTAGTAATGGCTTTGGTATTTCACTTTCCAATTCAATTTTACATTGTTCTTGGACTAAGATGTTTACAGAGGGCCAAAAACAGACTTATTCATTTCTGGGGCCCCAGAGCCTTAGCATAAGGCCAGGGAGAGAGGGGCCATTCACTGAGCGTTTGTGTCTGTTGCTGCTGGTGGTAGTGGTAAGAATGAGACTGAGGAAGCCTGCTCTGAGCAGAATATTTTTGTGATGCTGACACTCCTCCTTTACTCTCTCCCTCCAGAAGTTCACACATAAAAGCAACCCTGAAACTTCTGAATAAAGTAGAGAAAACCTACCTTATAGGCCGCCGATATAGGAAGTTGTCAGACTTTAGGCTAATAGCATCCATAAGAAAGAAAAAGAAACAAAGGAGAATGCTGGGGAGAGACTGGGACGGGTGAAAGAGAGAAATTGACTATGATGTATGTGCATGTATGTATGTGTGTACTACCATTGTGTGCATATCTTCTGTGAATAACTTCTTTATATTTGTGTGTGAAAATGCATGAGTTTGTTCAGTTGTGAATGTTCCTACTAAATATTAGAGGACAGATCATTGTCAAGTCTAAGCAGATTTTTTTACATCTACTCATAGTCAGAGGTCCTGGGTTAAGCTGCTGTTTGAAATTGTCTACTTTCTTGACATTTCATCCATATTAATGGATCACCCCTCTGCCCCAGCCTCCCAGGGACTGTGCTCAGCATGATGTCAGGGCCATCTTTCCTCCTTCTCAGTCCCAGTGAAGGCTGATCCTGGCTGATTTCAGCCAAGCCAATCCCTCTGGGGTGAGAGCTCACTAAGAGCCCCTTTTCAGACTCTATCTCCAGGTGATCTTGCGTTTAGGTCTCTTTTCTGTATTTCAGCTTTGTGTTCCTGTTTTCCTCTTTTTTTTTCTTCAGATCAGCCTTGACTAAATGTTGAAAAAGACTGCTTGTGTGGTGTTATAAAGAAGGGAGAGCCCGTTCTCTTTAATACCCCTAATACCTTTCCAAAGTGCTCCTGGAGCTAAAATTCCATGGTCCCAGGGGGTTTGTTTCTGTTCAATTCAGAAGCACTCACTGAGGGCCTGCTCTAAAATAGGTCGAATACCAGGTGGTGGTCAAAAGTGAAGGGTGCACAGCTGCGAAGCAAATACAGTCATGCATCACCTAACAATGTTTCAGCCAATGATAGACTGCATGAATGACAGTGGTCCCATAAGATTATAATGCTGTATTTTTATTGTACCTTTTCTATGTTTAGATATTTTTAGATACACAAATGCAAGCATTGTGTTATAACTGTCTACAGTATTCAGTAGAATAACATGCTGGACAGGTTTGTAGCCTAGGAGCCATAGGTTGTACCATGTAGCCTAGGTATGTAGTAGACCATACCATTTCGATTTGCATAAGTACATTCTATGATGTTCACATAACGATGAAATCACCTAACAACGCATTTCTAAGAAGGCATCCCTGTCAATAAGCAACGCATGACTGTACTTCATTGCTCTGGCCCAAAGAGCAGCTCCATGGAGCTTGAGACTTTGCCTTTACTGAAAAGCAAATACATGGGGTGGGGACTTTCAAACATTAAGCCTATTTGTCATACATGCCTTGGTTCATTCTTTTCTAAGTTTAATGTTCTTTCTTTCTTTTATTCATTTGTCCTGAGGGAGGCCATGTGGTTTGTTAGAAAGAGTACTAACCCAGACACCTGGATTTAAGCCTAATTCAGCTGCTGTCATTTCCCCTCTTTGAACCTCAACTTCCTCACCCACAGAATGGAATTAAGAATGATTGCTCTTTCTAAATCCCAGCATTACTTTAAGGAATTTCAGGGAAAGAGAATGTAGTGAGGAGAAAAAAACTAGCATTCTCTGAGTTCCTACTAGAGGTAGTACTTTGCATACGTGCATTCTGTAGCCATACAAAAGGAAGCAGGTGGTGACAAGTGAGGACATCGGGAGCAGGAACAGAGGCCTAGAAATGATCCACTAGAAAGAGCCTCAACTGGAAGCAGAGAGATCTGGAATCTAAGCTCAATCTGCTCCTAGCACTTATATAATTTTAGAAAAGTCACTTTCCCTCTCTAAGCCTCGGTTTCCCCATCTATGAAATGGACTCTGTTGAAGTCGGTGATCACTAAGGGCTCCTCCAGCTCTGCCATTTTGGGTCTTTAGGAACACCAACCTCAACCCACCTGCCTACCCTAAAAATGATCTCACACTGACCCTGGAATGCATTTCAGGTTGCTAGACCCTAATGCTTGCAAATGATGACCAGGTAGTGAAGTTTCACACTTACTTCAGCAACGCCAGTGGTGATTCCTGCCTTCCAAAGATTCTTTCTATCCTCAGACTTGATGCTGAACCAGAGACCTCTGGAGAGGTGAGATGAGCCGGTGACATCGCGAACCTCGCAGACAGGAGATGCAGTGCTGCAGACCTAATTAACATCACGTGCAGCAGGCACCACGGAGCACACTGGAGCTGCCAAACAGATAAATAAAGCAATGTTTTATTTTAAGTGTTGGTTAACAGTGAGTACTAAATAGACCGTGCCTTATTTACTATGCCTTCCCTGCACAGGCCTGCTATGGCTGACCTAGACCTCATGAGACAGCATACCCTGATTTCAAGGCTGTGCCTTATGAGTTGCTTGTCAAGCAGCTGGAGAATTGGGCCCCTGACTGGATGTTGTAATAGACCCATGTAGAGATGTGAGTACAGGATTCTGGACTCTGATGTCTGACAGATCAAACTGAGAGTCCTGCTCTGTCACAATGTGGCCTTGTGCCATCCCTATGAAACTGTTTACTCGATTTTAAAATGAGACTAATTAATGTCTGGGTTACAGGAAGGTTGTGAAGGGTGGATGATGAGAAGATATAAATAAAGACCTTAGCAAATGCAAGTGTCCCATAGAGGGTAGGTATTGCTCCCAGTCACATCCACATTACTCTTATGTTTAGTATGTCTAAGTCAGTCAGACCAACACCCTGGCATATATTATAAATGGATAATGTTGTCCCTCATTATAATTGATTAATAACGTAACAGGGTCTTTATCAACATCAGGTGGTCAGTTGTCCACCTCCAAGAGTATCTTCTCTCTTTTCGCTATAACATCAGCATGCATTCATTCATTAGTAAGGTTTACCATGGTATCTTAGTGTGGGTTCTTCCAAAAGCAGAGACTGGGACAAGGAACTGAGAAAAAGTGGTTTGCTGGTACTGGTAATCTAATGCTACTACCGCTGCTGCTGCTTCCTCTTCTTCCTCCTCTTCCTCCTCCCCCCTCCCCCTCCCCTCCCCCTCATGCCTTGTGTTTTCTATTCCATGGCTGGGAAACTTGGTAGAAACAGTGTCTGAGTCAACTCTGCATCCCAAGAATCCAGCATAGTGCCTGCACAGAGTTAAGTACTCAGTGATTATTTGCTGAGTGAAAGAAATGATAGATGGATGGATGGTCATACGGATGTGCAGATGGACTTTCTCCTTTGTAAGAATCATTTCTATGTACAAATAGGGGATGGTGAATGGAAGTTGGATGCGGATGGACTTTGATATATAGGGTAATCAACATGGGGCATGGGCAGGTAAGTCAAGAACCCCTCAGAAGAAATGAATCTAGGATTGGATCAAGTGACCTGGGTCAAGGGCCCATCAGTGCTGGGCCTGTTGACTGACTTGGTCTCACCTGGCACTCCAGCTTGGAATCAACACCACAGATGGGAGCCACAAGAGCATCTGAACTGGGATCAGAAAAAGGAAGCTCCCAGGAAGACCAGAAGCCTGACGCTGGGACTCGAAGAGCCTCAGATTTAGATACTCCTCTTTGCAAAGCCTTGCCCTTACTTACTATCAACTCTGATATTGCACGAAAGCTGAATTTTCTTTTGACAATTAGTGCAATTGACCAGGAAAAAGGAAAATAAAAATGAAATGTTTGAGATTTTTATGTGTAATTTTTTTTTTGAGACAGTCTCGCTCTGTCGCCCAGCTGGAGTGCAATGGCTCACCGCAACCTACACCTCCCAGGTTCAAGCAATTCTCCTGCCTCAGCCTCCCAAGTAGCTGGGATTACAGGTGTGTACCACCACGCCCAGCTAATTTTTATATTTTTAAGTAGAGACCAGGTTTCACCATGTTGGTCAGGCTGGTCTCGAACCCCTGACCTTGTAATCTGCCCACCTCAGCCTCCCAAAGTGCTAGGATTACAGGCGTGAGCCACCGTGCCTGGCTTATGTTGTATTTAGATACCTTTATTTTTTATTATAGCTAAAATCTTGAAGTTAAGATCAATTTCTACAAGTAACATTTCCTTGTGGTGAGGGTAAGGTGGGCACTGAGAGGAGTGTTGCAGCCAATAGCTAGTAACTGTCAGAGCTGGGATGTGACCGCAGATGCACCCAACTCCAGAGCCCATGCCCTTAATGATCTGGCTTTGTAGAGAAATGAAACCTCCCTGTGGCCTTGGAAGCCAGTGTAGAACTCATATCTTAGAATTATCTTGCATGAGGGATGAGGGAGCTGAATATTTTTTATTCACCTGGGGACCCCAAGTCAGCTCATCTTCAGAGCTCCAGGATCTGGTGGAGATAATGCTATCTGCCGTATTTGACTCAAAGCACTGTGCTGAAACAACAGAATGGGTGTGTCAGCACTCGAATTATCTGTTCAGCATTATTATTGACTATTCCCATCAGGTGGGTAGGAATCACATCAGGCAGACATTCAGTGCTTTCCTGATGATAGCTAATAAGAAAAAATTAATAGAAGATGGGCCGGTTCCCAGAGTTTATGAGACAAGCAGTTTTCTAAATTAATTGCATAGTATGCAAGGTACACATGGTTCATTGAAATACAATATAAGGTCTGGATGAACTTTGGAGCATTCCATTTTTCTGGCAAGAGGGAAACAAAGACACAATTGCTCATCTCTATGCACTGACAGTCTCCAGGTCTGCATTCTCCCAGGAGGGAGTTTAATTGCTCCATAAGCTTCAAATTCAAGGGCTCCTCAATGCTAAGCTCCTGATGAGCTGCATTAAAGTAATAATGACAAAGATGCCAGTTGATGTATTTATTAAATATGCAGATCCTGAAGGGAGCTAATGTGGGCTGTTCATGCCAATGTCGTTCCAGATGGGAAGTCCCTGCTGTAGCCCTCTCACCTAAATTCACACTTAAAGGTCAAGATAAGCTAGAGAATTGAACCTGGTCTGTCTGACTGCACAATCATGTTTATCTATCTGACCACCTATATGTTCTTTCCTGTTGAAGATGAACCAGCCATCTTCTATTAATTTTCCATTCACAGCTTTACTCCGCCTTTTGTCCTCAGAGGCTGACCCAAATGGTCCTTTGAAAAGAATTGATAAAACCAACAAGCCTCTGATTAGACTCACCCGAAAAATTAAAAATGAGACGTTAGAAATCACTAATATAAGGAATAAAAAGGGAGACATAAGTGCAGCTCCTAGAGATTATAAAGGATAATAAGGAAACATTATGGCTGGGCATAGTGGCGTGTGCCTATAGTCCCAGCTACTCAGGAGGCTGAGGTAGGAGGATCACTTGAGCCCAGGAGTCCTGGGCTGCAGTGCTGTATGCTGATCAGGTGTCCGCACTAAGTTCAGCATCAATATGGTGACCTCCCGGGATCGGGGGACCGCCAGGTTGCCTAAGGAGGGGTGAACCGGCCCAGGTGGGAAACGGAGCGGGTCAAAACTCCTGTGCTGATCAGTAGTGGGATCGCGCCTGTGAATAGCCACTGCACTCCAGCCTGGGCAACACAGCGAGACCCTGTCTCTTATTGAAAAGAAAAAAAGGAAATACTATGAACCAATTCATTCCAATAAATTTTACAACTTAGATGAAATCCAAAAATGTCATGAAACATGCAAACCAAAAGCTTACTCACGAAACTTCACTCAAGAATTAGATCACCCAAATAGCTCTATATCTATTAAAGAAATGGAATGTATAGTTAAAAACTTGCCAGCAAACACTCTAGGCCAGAATGGCTTCACTGGCAAGTTCTATCAAACATTTATATAAGAGATAATACTAATTCTTCACCAATTCTTCAGAAAATAGAGGAGGAGATAACACTTCCCAATCATTCTATGTGGCCATTAATATTATCCTGATACAAAAAACCACAG